GTTGCTCTCGCCGCGGTTAGTTCTGCCTGTAAGAACACAGTCGAACAGCTGTTTCTCTAACTGCCTCGCTTTCATCGCATGCATCTCGTTTCTCCTCCCAAATCAAGCCTTTCTCCATTGGTGTCGCAAACAAAAGCTGATTACCATTATTTATGAGTTCCACGGATGATAAATTAATTGAATTTCATGAATTCCATAGTACTTTGAGCACAGAAAGTGTCACTCTTTTCACCACAATTACATTTTTAACCCCTTTGAAGCTAATTTTCTCCTCCCTCACACCTTTGACTGTTCCCTTGTTTTGAGTGGTTTGTCTATCAAAAAACAGACATGAAAGCATAAAGAGACATGTAGCTAGTGGAGTGAAGATGTACATTTCTAAGTTAGCATGCTAACAAATGTGTAGCCATCTTGTATTTGTGGCCTATAGTTTAGTACTCACAGCTCCCACAATGTTTATTTGAACCCCAGGTAAAAAAAATAAATCAATAGGTTGTTGCATCAAATTTATCAACCCCATGTTCTTACTAAGTTATATATTTTTTCTACAGACATGATGCAGCATGATGTCATGCATATAAAGTACGCCCCCCCCCCCACAACTTCCTGCGGGAGGGCAAAAGCTGCTAGCTGGTGATGACTACCATTGGTCTTAGCTTTCAAGTTGTAAATGTAATGCATTAATCTTGAGTGTATGCCTGACATATAATAGAAAAAAGGACACAGTGCTTTGCTACTAATTGTCAACACTATTAGAACTAGATAATATAGTCAGATCAAAGTTTTAATAAAACAAACATTAAAGGAGAGGGTAGTAGGTTAGCTATGCTAGCTTGACTTTGACAACTTTAATGTGTTTAACGCTGCAGAATTTCGTGTGTTTCAGTTCAGTTCAGTTAAAAAAAAATTAAGGGGACCTGCACACCAACTCTACCAGATCAGTAGAGCAGGTGTTTGAATTAACTAATCTACCTGAGTGATTGCTTAATATCTGCATTTACAATCATAAAATAAACATGAAGCCTCAAAACATAAAACTGTAATGTACTGAATGTTTTGTTCTTTGTGTGGGAAATGTCTGCGTGAGTTTTAGTGTTGCATCCTGATGCAGTAGTGGCATTGTTGTCAATCAATTGCTATGACAACGGCTCTATGTGAAGCGTAGCCAACACAGAGGGCTAAAAAAACAAGGAAAAAGTGTACAAGTGGTTTTTAGTTGTTCTTCATCCAAGTTAAAAAAGTTACGTGGAACCACTTGGCATTACAGAATATCTGTTTTTGAGTGCGTTATTTTTCCCTTTGCTGTGACGCACTGCATTAGATTAACAACATCTATATCTCCAGTTTCAATTTAACTAAACTGCTCTACTGCGGCAGCACGTCTATGGATGATAAGTAAAACAATCGTCTTTTTGCCCTCCACCGTTGTGCATATGTGCCAAATTTCCAGATGTAAACAATAACATGCAATGCGTCTACAGTCCTGTAGTGTGCTGCCCGCTACACAGTTGCACACTTAATAATGTGACAATCTTAATCACAGAAATGTGGGACTTTCATACGTTTTGCTCGTTATATTTTTTCTACTTTTCTCCTGCTAACTTAGATAAAACATCATAATTTTAATGCTGACCATCTAACAGTTTATCATAACTACAGTTGCATTTGATTTCTCATTAAATTTTGTATTTCTTTAAGACATTGCTTCCCAATTTGTTCCCTTTTTAACTCTTAATTGGACAAAGAAAAATAAATTATCCACTTAATGTTTTTGCTTTAGATCCAGTGATACCATGGAGGCACTGCACTGCATTGTTCTGCTCTGAATTACCCAGCATACAGTAGGATGACTAACTTGTTAACTTGCAAACGCCATCCCACTTCCTCTAATGTACGAAACGCTAAAATATAAAGACCTCTCGATCATTTTCCCCTGGCCTTCTCCCACCCGATGTTCTCCACCTCCCTGTGGCTGTCTGAAACGGCACAATGATGTACACAACTATTTTAAAACATGGAAATGATGAGCACAAAGAGAAAGGCAAAGGAACAGTTAGATATAAAAGGAAGCAGACAGTGAGATAGAGGCAGACGCCTCACAGAGACAGTCAGACAGACGGGGGCTGATAAATACGATGGGAGATGAGAAAGACCAAAAAACCAGAGACAAGGGAAAAAGGGGAAAAAAACACTTCTTATCTCACTCTGCCTTTCACAGCCACCCCCACGTTAGCATCTAATATGTCTCAGTATGTGAAACTATCTGTAAGCATGACTTGTATGACTTAAACATTGCCTTTGAGAAAATCTGTATATTAGTGGTCACTGGAGACACAGTGTCATTTTAGTGAGCAGGGAAAAAAATGCAGTATTTGACAAAATCCTCATATTGTCTGAATCCCCAGTGTTTCACCATGAGTATATGGGTTACTATACTCTGATCCCCTCCTGAATGACAGAGCTTCTCACCCCATCTCTACGGGACAGAAACCCAACAGAGGAATCACATTTTGACCTCTTGTATCCACAGTCTCGTTCTTTCAGTTGCTACTCAGATCTCTTGACCATATTGAGGTTAGGAAATAGATCAAGATGTAATAGAGCTCTGTCTTTAAGCTCAACTTTCTCTTCAAGACAGACTTGCACGGCACCAGCCAGCGTCACTGAACAGGTTGGTGTGGCATCACTGCACACCAAGCTACCCATCAATGTCCTGCTCCTCATCTGTAAAAAAGACTCTGAAAACTTAGCCAGATCTTGCGTTTCAGGATCTGGCTATCTTTTTGGATATGAGTTCTTAAGTTGAGTGATCATCAGTCACCTGCTTTACACTGATTAAATTAAGCTGCATGCTAAATGACCAAGACATAAACTCACCAATACATACAACTGAGAAATACAAGATGGAACTTTAAATGGCCATTCAGACTAAACTTGTGCAGGAAATAGTATTTGGAAGACACACAAAGGTGTCATATGTGGTGGTTGAGAGGTGGTGAGGAGAGACCCAGGTTGTGAGGAAGATGATGATGAGTTTAATGATGAAGGCTGAAAAACAGTCCAACACAGAGAGATTAGCACACAGCTAAATACCGGTAGCAACTGATGAAAGACTGAACATGGAGCAAGCTAACCAGGACTTAAACAGTTCTACTGGACAGCCGACACAGACAACAACTGACAGTCTGGAACAGCTCAGTCTGGGCTTTTTCCCATTGACTTGGATTCTACCGGTAGAATTTGTACCGAACGGCAAAGAGAAGAAGTTCTGAACAATAACGTTGAGTTTCTGCACCGTTTTAGAATGGTAGTCTGCCTGTAGTTTTAGCAATGGCAGTGGAGGAAGTGAACGGAGCCATTCAATGTGTGCAAATATTAACATGAACAGCCATTTTATTCAGATGAGCACTTCTTTCTTCACAGTGGAGGATGGTTATTTACAGTGCAGACAATTTCTGGTAAGCTTCACAGCGTCAAGCAGTTTAAAATTTTAATCTTACCCAAGATTGAAATTTCAACAGAGTCCACGCCTCCAGAAAGCCATCGTTTCTCAATAGCTGAGAGTCCAGAAGCTCTGGATGAAGTGAAGCGTAGAACCAGGAGCTGGTATTTACCAGGCTAACCTTTAGGGATGTTTCTTTTCAATCTGAGGAATTTTCTCATCTGTAAGGTTTCTGCAGTTCCACCATCAGTTGCAACATTGAGGTGGAGCACCAAAAAGCACAAGGGGAAGAATCTAAAAGTGGGAAACATTTTGTGCTCGACGGGAAGGAGAAAATATAGACAATGTGAATGTTTGGCTTGAGTAATTAGCTGTGCCTCTGTGAAATCATGTGTAACATTTAGAAACCGACAGCATCCGTGAGAAAAATGACATGAAGTAAATGTTGAACCTTAAAAAGTTGTAGTGACCCTGTGATAAATGGTGGCAAACATTTTAGATCACCAATCATTACATGAACGCTGTCTAATTTACTAAGCTGTAATGCAATTTCTCATGCTTTGGTTTAGGTGCTTTCTTCCATCTACTTTCGCCTTGGTGGTCTAACATTCCCATTAGTTTTCCCTCATTCATCAGTTCGCTTCATCTGCTCCATTCTGCCGACTCACACCAAGAAAAATAATGGAAACTCATTGTTTGGTAATTACTCGATTAAATATGCCAGTGAACTCTCTGAAAATATCTTAATTTATTACTCCAAATCGCCTCGGACGTATTCAACACTGGAGAATAAAACTTAGAATGTGTAAAATGTTCATTTGAAAAATAGGGAGAATTATTAGACAGCACAAAGTTTCTGATAGCTCTCTTTTTTGATACTGTGAACTTTATGCCTAAGAGACAAATGCTTCAGTGGCATCTTCTAAATAAAAAAGGACGAGTATTGTAAGACTATGTTTGGTGTTTATAGAAAAAGTCAAATGAGCAACAACAAAAACGTACAAATAATCCAACTAGTTCATTTATATCCCAACATCAACCTACTTTAAATGCTTCACAAGTCTAAAATTCAGCTTGAAAAGCTGCTCATTATTTTTCCATATTAAACTGTAGTTTCAAAGCTGCTGATGCTCCATCATAAAGATCCAGATTCTCTTCAAATATTGATAGAAATCAAAGATCACATCCCTGCTGTTTTAGTATTTTGTCTTTTTTAGAGCATCAACAAAAATAAAGAAATAGAAATACCAGAATACACCATGTTTCCATCGAATTGTCTTGCGAATTATTGTTTGTCATTTTGAAATTTGCTGTCAAAATAATTCAGCGTATTTTCCCCCCAATCCTTTTCAGATTAAAATAAAGACACGTTCAATTGTGTTTTATTGTCATTTGGTTTGGCTAACATTCAACAAGCTGAACAGATCACACATCAAGCAGATGAACACACGTAACTTTTTCTCTGTTGTGACAAAAATCACTGACTGTTGCCGTAGCAACTACATATAAACAGCCACAGTAAACGATCGCACTTCCATCTCCGGTTTTGCACGTCAAC